TATTTTGTGATGATACTGAAAGAACTCCAGAAAGATGAGGACGAGTGGCTGGAAAATTATAATGATAACATCAAGAAAAAGTGGTAAGAAAGAATGGATGAAGTGATGCAGACTGCAAATTTGTCACTACTTTGAGATTGTTGAAGTAAAGGATGGGAAAACAGTAAAACACAAAATCCACCCTCCCTCCCCACAAAGAACAGAAATTAACAATTCTGTGGACAAGGTATACTGTGTTGGAGAAAATAATCTAAGCTGATGATGTAAGTGCATATGAAAGTTTTTCTGTCATGCTAAACTGAAACTGTATCTTCTAATGTAACAGCTATCGGAGCCTTTTATCTTATGTTCCATAGCATAGTATAGTATTTGTTATGCTGGGCTCCAGGTTACAATTGTTTTATGGACTTTGAGTAATAAAAATAGAAATGCGCTACAAGGATAGGCTTTCTGCAGACTGCCCGTGGATCAGGTAGGATAGCACATGGGTTCCTATAGCTATGTTACAAGCTGAACGTCCGTAGTTCATTTTAAACATTGCATTTACTAGCGTTTCATAGAAGTAAGGCTGTAACTACTGCCAGAATGCTAACACCCTGAGATGATGTCCTTGTATATACTGAATACACTGCTTTATTTTTTGTAAAATACAGCAAAGCAGTTTTCATATACATGTAGCTGTTTTATGATCTGCTGTATTTCATATAACGTTGTTGATTTATCTAACACTTCTTTTCTCTACCTCTTGTGTACTGTTAATCTGCTGGAGTTGAATTGTGTGGTTCCAGAGATTTCTTGCTGTAATATTTCTGATTTGCGGTTTAGGCTCTATCATATTTACAGCTGTATGAATCTATAACACGTAAGGACTGTGAATTTCCTTTCTTTAATGTAAAACATTATGAAGGTTTAGTATGGGCAGCATCGCATGTGTTACCATCCAATATTGTTGTTTGGAAAATTTTATTCAATAAAGCTCAGCTTCTGTATAAAGCTAATACGCAGACAAGCAAGTGATACTAGCAATCTACCCTTGCAATCATAAAACCGATAAACTGTAAGCTGTATATGCAAGTTTATTTAGAAATACATAAACACATTGTCTGGCAATGAATTGTTTATTAGTTTTCATTTGTAGTGGTACATTTTAGAGGAACTGTGCTAAAAGAGCATTTTTAAGGTTGCAAAGTCAAACGTTTAAAAGCTGAACAGTGTCACAGTTAATATTGTCTGTGCAAACAGTTCAATTTGCTTTCTCTATATATTTTATTGTATGATATTAAATCACACAATTACAGATTTTTCCTGTGGGATGTCTGCCTTATTGATTGTATAAAATGGATAGCACACACTTACTGAGAATCTGTTGTATTTTTTTTCCCTTCTGTTCAGTATGTTACCCGATTGTTTATTCACTGTGTGCTATTCAAGCAGTGCTTAGAAAACAAAATTGTTCATTAACTCATAGGCGTTTTTCTTCACCTCTATTTTTTTTGAGTTAATGAGGTGAAAATAAATCTTAATTCTGTAAATTCCGGCATGCAGAAATTAGTAATGCCTTGCTTTACTAGAGGTTTTACTGAATGTAATTTCCTGGGTTTAAAAACTTAATAAATAGGCAAGGTGGTAAGTTCATAACAGAGCATTATGTCACTGTCTTATCAGCAGGGTGTTTTAGATTAGGATCAGTAGCCACTGTACCATTCAAACAGAAGAGATGCCAGTGGCAGTAATGGATTGTCATCATCTTTGACTGGAGAAGGATGTGCTTTACAAGTAGATTTTGCAGGTGTCTGATAAAAGGAGAATAAGCTTTAGATCCTCTTCAAGGATTTGCCAGGAGGGACATTCTTTAATTCTTTTGACCATTATTTCTTTATGTAATCTGATTAGTTTTTTGTTTTGTACTTGTTTCTGATACTCCTGTTCCAAAATCTACAGCTCAAGAATGGCTGGTTGCCATTCTTTAGGCTTCATCCAGTTCCCACAAATCTTACTGTCTCCTTTCTAGATTCCCCTGTGTCAGTCTTTCTTCATATTCCTACTTCTGTCTCACCCAACCGTTTCTTGTATTAGATTTGAGATGCAAGTATAGCTATCAAATGATGAGGGTAACCTAAAAATGAGTTATGAGCTGCCTACAGTTCAGCAGTGAGAGTGGAGCTCCGGTGCCAGGGATTTCATGGCGGGCCACAGGTGGACTGTGCCTGCACAGAGGCTGCTGAGTAATCCAAACCTTAATTTCGAAGAAGGTGAATCACTAGATTCTGCTTAAACTAGTTTTGCTGGGTACAGCTGAAAGAATACTGTTCTCTCTTGCCTGTGAGCTACTTTCAGAGCTCCCTTTTCCTTGTGCTCTCTAGTGGATGCAGTATGGGGTTTTTTGGGTGGAAAGTTTGGTATGTGGCTTTGTAAGGTCAAGAGGGTTGGGCACTGCAATCCTCAAATGTACTTTGTTTCAATTTGGAAGGATGAGTATGTTTGGATGTGCAGTATAAAAAATATATATAGTTCTGTGAAGAGCTACAGTCTATACAACAATGCAACATATCTTGAAAAGGAAAAAGTTTACAAGTCAAGATTATGTTAAGATTTGGCAGACAGAGAAGAAAGGTTGAATCAGATGACAATTACAAGATTTTGGTTTTACAATTCAAAACATTTTAGGCTAAGAAACATACCATATTTTTGGACACTCCTGAAACTTGGTAGTAGTCATTTGTCTCGTCTGGAGGAAGAAATGCAGCCAATGAAATAGTAAAATGAACTTGAATCTTTTTTGAAGCCTGAGTGAAGCTCTTAAAAACATTCCTCACTGTGTGAGGGAAAAACTGATCATGGAGCAGGAGAGTTGTGTGGCTTGAAATTAAATGTGTGACCAGTCCTGTTTATGATTCAGTTGTAAGGAATACATTTAATAGCATGAATCACAAGCCTCCTGTCTTTCTAAGAGGCATGGGCAAGATCCTCTTGTAGTCAAGTTGTGGCTGAAAAACTGGCATGATTCCCAAGCCCAGTCTTCATTTTGCATCACAATAATCACAATTTAAGATAAAATGAATAACAAGTAATAAGTTAAAACCTTTATTCCTAGGATGGTTATGATTGTTTTTTCCTTGCAAGTCCCTTTTTAATAATTTCTGATCTGTTTCCCAAGCTTCTCATGAGTTCTAGTTCTGGTGGACAGTTTGTCCTTCTGGTCTTTTTACTAAATTATTGAACTGTTAAAATATTTCAGTATTGTTTTACTCTGCTAGTGTTTGTAATGTAAATTTGCTATTCCTTTTTTCAGGTAGAGTTTTGAGTTGTGTTTGAAATTTTAGTTCATGCTGAAATTATAACAGCAACAGCAAATGGTGTTTGATTTTTCCGAGTAATGACCGAGTTGGTCTAGTGGGTTTTTGTAAGAACAAAGGAGAAATTATTATTTCTGAAAAAGAAAAGTTGATGAACTGTTGACCTTTTTCATTTAAAATCATATTGAAGAAAGTATTCAGCTGAATTATAAAGAACTTGCATTCAGTTTCTGCGAGGTGCTGAAGAATCTGACGCCAGTTGTTCTCTCTTTTAAGGCAGTGCCCTAAACATCAGGTTGCTTATTCTACCACCTTTTTTAATTGCTTGAAATGTTTACCCTATCTGAAACCAATTAAGGAGGAAAATTGGGAAGGATGTGTATTTCAGAAATTGTACATGATAATGGTTAAGGCTAAGTAATTACAATCTCTGTTCTAACTCAGACAGTACTTGCCCTGTATTCTAATAACTGGATTGTTTTCTGAAGTCAGTACACAAGTCTGAAGTGTGGGAAATATTAAGTTTCTACACTTTAGCTTTGCTAAAACAAAAATAAATGTTGCAAAATGGATTAAATGCACATGTCTCTCTGGCTTAACAAATAGCAAATCCTCTGTTCTGGTTAAACCTATTTAAATTTCTTTCAGCAGTTTCGTGTTTTTCTTCTGCGGAGGATACTGTTCACTGGCTATTGGCATAAACTGTAATTTATGCATAATTGCAATTAACATGAATCTTTACACTTCAATTAATAATACAGTTGAATTAAGACATAGGAAGCTGATAAACATTTTCAGAAATTAATAACAATCATACTTCAGTATGAGGCCATAAACAAAACTTCACTGGAACTAGCACTCTAAACTCGTTATGTCAGTACAGTACAGCATCACTTATGAATTATTTTTTTCTTATACTGAAATCTGTTCTTCAGACATTCAGTATAGTCATTCCTTGCGTACCAAATCACAGAGTCTATTCTAAGTAATACCAAGTTATCCTGACTGTTAAGATGAATGGACCATGTACTTATGTGATTACCTTTTAGTAGTGGGTTTACAAAAATTTTAATAATAACAGGAAAATCTGTGGACTCTTGCAAGCAAATGTGAAACATGATTGAATGGCTTTCTAGTTCGGGAAGGAGATGGTTAGCACGAAACACTGGGCTAGTGATAACGTTAACTTGTGGCTTGGAGCCACTGTGTGACCTCAGGTGAAAGTATTTTAAGAAGAAAGCTTTTTTCAGAATATAAATTTAAAGTGTGCCCTGTATGTGTGTAGCAAAAGATTATTCTCTTCCTTCATACTGCTTTCATCTCCTATTTCCAAACAGCCTTTAGCAATTGTTGAAGGCAGTTCTAGAGAACTAAAACTAGGAAATTATAACAGGAAACCAAGAGGTTATTAGAATCTCTTTCTCAAGTTATGATAGATTAGTAGTTGCATTATTTAGTACCCTTGTAGCCATGAGTTTCATTACCATTTCTTATGCAGGAGTACTTACGTGTACAACAGAAACAGTCATGCAAGTCTGCTTAGCATGAAGAAGTAGTTTTGTTTTGTTTTGTTTTTTTTAATTATTATTGTTTTTATTAGCTCCTTCTGTTTTAGTATATACAGTCATTTGGGATGGCAAAAAAACCTTTCAACATTATTTGTTTGGCAGTGTTACACTTAATTAGACTATAGTATTGATGCTTTGAAATTGTGAATTAAATATTAGAGTAGTTTTCTGTAGCTTTTAAGAACAGAATGCTACATTCATTCTGCAAATAATTTACATTTAGTAAATACTTATGTCTGATCCTTCCTAAAGAAATAGTGTAGTATTTGTACCTCCCCTTCTTATTTCTCAAAAAGAAAAATGTAAATATTTTCCCTGTGGTAGCTTTTGTCCTCATTTCAACTTAACAATTTAAGAATATATTAATTCTAGTAGTTTCTAAATGTATACTATTCACCAGTTCTCAGTTTTGAATTAACACAAAGGGCAGTTACAATGTTCCCTAGCCTTCATTTTTTTTCCATCCTCTCCCTCTCAAAATTTCATCTTACTTCCCATTTGTTCTTTAAATCCCTACTCCAGACTTACCCTTTTTGCAAAGAAATCAGCAGTAAATATTACATAAAGCTTAGAATATACAAGTATTTCTGTGTCCATAGAGACACCTTGAAATCAAATAGTTTTGTGAAGTGGGAAGGAGCTTTGGGACTGCTGATTTAGTTTATGAATAATTCCAAATCCATCTGAAACTGTGTTATTCAGCCTGTGGGCATAATGGCAAAGAGGCATTTAGGGATTTAGGAATTACATGATGATAATGCAATATTTACTTCTTATTTTCCTTTGCAAGCCCTTTTTAAGGAGAAAGAGATGGACAAGCAAAAGCAGAGAAATGTTCATTCTGATTCTTCCTCATTATTTTACCCTTTTGTGTTCTGTGAATGTTCAGGAAGTAACTGGATTTTAAAAAAAGATATAAGTTCTTTGTCGTCATCACAAAAATTTTTAAAGTATTTATCATTTCATCTTTTCGCAAACAAACTATTTAGAGATTGATATTAAATTAGCATCAAGTATTTGCAGCAGCTCACTAATGCTAGAAGATGTGACAGAACCTATTGGTGGAAGAGTGCGTGAAAATAGAGGGTAACAAAGAAAAAAAAGCATAATGATTTTGAGCATTGAAAAGGTTTTAGGGGTAGTGACCCAAAGGGTGGAAGACACAGATCTTTGGTTTGAACTAGTTCCTTCATTGTCATTTTATTAATTGTCTAAAGGGGAGATAATTTTATAATGTCTCAAATATCTGCCTCGTATCTCAGGGCTTAAATTAGAATAACTGTGATGGAATGCTTCATAAATTAGGCAGTGGGTTTTTCAGCTGAATAAGGTCTTATATTTTTTTTTAATTGTTAAAAATTGGCTTTGTTAGTTGAAATATAAATTAAAGTTGTGTCTCAGACTGATGATAATGTTTTTAATTTTAGGATATCTTGTATTATGAACAGCTTAAGTCAAATGTGATTCAGCACGACCTTTTAGTGGACAGCCTGATTTACAAAGTAAGTAATTCACTAAACAGTGATTAAGTGATTTATATACTCATCACACCGCTATATTGGGTTTTTTTAACAAAGACAGTGTTGGATGGTTTGGTTTTAAGGAGGGTATGAGTGATTAGTAATTGAATTTATTGTTGTAAACTCTCTCCTTGTGCCTGTGTTAGCTCTTGTGTAAGACATTTGTTTGAGTTGAGTCATAAAGAAATGGTAACTTCATTTGAAGGAATAACTGGTTTTGCAAGGGAGCAAGCACAGGGCTCTGACCACTGCCATTTCAAGTTGCAATTCCAAATACTTTAACAATCAAGTTAATTTTTTAATTTTAAAATATGGAGTATATGCTGAACTACAGCTCTTTCATGATTCAACGGTGAAAGTGTCTTCTGCCACTGTGTTGCATTTAGCTTCTACAGGAGTCTGAAAAGATGTCTTTTGGCTTCAAACTGCTGTGGTTTTTGGTTACAGGATGTAAAGCTGACAGCAAGCAATGATGACTACTATTTTGTATTTGAGGATTATTTATATCAGGTATGTAACATTCTTAGGAAAGCTAGTAAGTATGCTGCAGTGGAATTGTATCATCTTTGGAGTAAGAATTGCCTCTGTGTCTCATGTGTAGGCAGAGTACAGTAGGACCCTAGACAGGTGTGTCTGCCGCATTACATATACTTTCCCTTCTGAATAACAGTCTTGTACACTTAAACAGAGTAAGCAGGACTAAATCTCCTACTCTGAAGGTCCCTACACAATGTCTTTCCAATGCAGTAAGCCAGAAAATATGAAGTCTGCCATATTCTTCCCTTTTCCAGCTTTGCAATAATAAAACGATTAACTGCTGTGGCATACAGAGAAATTAAGACTGGAGAGGTATATTCAGGGTTCCAGGGTTGTTTTTTTTTTAAAAAAAAGTGATATTACTTTATAGTGACCTACTGCAATACACATAAAAGATACTGTATTGACATATTTTATATTGAAGGCATTGATTCTGAATGAGGTAGTGATACGTATGGTTACTTTTAGGATTGCTCCCATTCTAAAGCTGCTTCTAGCAATGGGGAACCCAGCTAATTTATACAGAATTATCTTCATTACTGCCTGTCAAATGCACTTAAATAGAAGGAGATTACATTTATGTATTTCCTAATGTGTAGTTGATTGCAGTGTCAACATAAATGTCATGCAGCAAATTTACCATTTCCACAGTGCTTTCAATTTCATTAGTCACATCTGTTAGGTTAGACTTGCTTAATTTTTTTGGTTTAGAGCTACGTGAAACTAAATGATTTCTTCTTTGATGGCAATACGTAAAACTGCTAGTAATTTTAACTGAGCAAGAAACTGTCTTAATGCTGCTTAGGCCATATAGATATAAAAATATGCGTAACTATTTAAGCATACTATTCAATCATGTCTAAATACAGTATTTTAGCATAATAAGCGTTTAAATATTAATACTTAAAATTATAACCTCATGAAATCATAGCCTTTTTTACCTAAAAATAGTTACAGTATTAAGATCTGTATCTGAATTTGTTTCTGAATGAAAATTTGAAAAGTGACTGCATAATGACAACTCAAACACTGATATTTATTCACTAAAATATTTACATGGAGAAGTTTTTTGTGATTTAATGGTCAATGATGATCTTCATTATTGTGACATTATCTCTTCATCATAGGGTGTGAAAACCTCATTCTTATTTCTGCTTCATTTATGTATAGACTACTAAGGAGTGTTAATTAGTCATTAACTGACAGTTCCAGTGGACACAGGATTATAATCTATGAAAGAATATGAACTAGTATGCAGTATGATCTTTTGTTTCAAGACCATCAGAAATAGATTTTGTTCATCATTCTCAAAATATAGCACAGTTGAATATTTTGATTTTTTTATATATCACTATTAACTAAAAGAATGATTGAGGAATGAAAATCATAAAAAGGACTAAACTATCCTTAGTAATGTGAAGGAGAGTCACCAAAAATCTTTGAAAAATTAAGTGGCTAGTTTTACTGCAAGGCTTTGAGGCAAAGAATATCTCAAACTTCTAATTAATAATTGTTCTAGTTTTGTTTGGTGCTTTGTGGTATTCTTCAGACTCTTTTCTAGATGAAAGTTATCTGCTTTCCCTGATAATTTTCTCTTCCAACTTAATTTGCAAATGTGTTGCTGGAAAATGATTTTGTCCTATGGCCCATGGAAAAATTCTGCCGTATGAGTCACTCAGATACACAATAGTATTTATTGATTTCATATGATAACTGGAATTAAATATTGGCTAAATAAAATAAGTAATGAAAATGTTAGTTTAAACCAGATAAATTATTTCTATGTTTGGGTTTGTGGGGTTTTTTCCATGACTAGTTAGTGCCTTCAAGTTTTCCAAGTTGTTGAGCAGAGTGTGTGTGGCATTTGTCTGTGTATTACCTAATAGATAAAGCATCCATCAAAACCAGAAAATTTGCATGTAAAATAACAATGAGTTTATTTGGCTGGATTATTGGTACCTCTTTAGTGGTATGCAGTACTTTCCAGGAAGTACCCTGTGAAATGATGTCATTTATTTCCTTTAATATCTTTGCTTTCTTTACGGTTTACATATTTTTATTACTTCTTTAGAAAAAAGTAAAAAATAGAGTACACTTACTTTTAATACGGTAATGTTTTTTTGACAAAAGCTTTGGCCTTGGTTTTTTTTTTTTCCTCAGTCCTTTGAGTTCAGTGGTTTTCTTTTCAGTTTTCATTATAAATATCCAATAGTTTGCAAAACATTTCTGTACTTAAAAAGGGGTTTCTGTCATTGTTTTCTTTAGCATTATCATCTTTGTGAATGACAAAAGTAATATATGAATCAATAAATTTGTAAATTCATTATTTCAGGCCAGAGGTTCAATTTGAATACTTTAGTCTTACATCCTGCATAATGAATATATGCAAAGAACCTCACCCAGCAGTTTTTAGGTATAATCATAACAACGTTTGAGCTAGAGTCTAACTCATATAAAGATGCATAGTCTTAACTTAAAGACTTCCAGATACTGGTACTGGACACTGTATTCCTACAAAAGGGGGCCTCAAATTAAGGTTACATTCTTTCCCCTATGAGAGAACATAATTTGTGTCCTTTTTAGATTAGTTTCTTTTTTCTTTCACCTCAGTTAACATATACAGAGAATTACATTTGCCTGTGTATTGTTATTGTCAGCTATATTTTGGCAGCTATGGAAATTATTGTGTATTGTGCAAAAATAATATTTAGCTTAAACTGTTTGAGATAAAGAAATTATTTATTTTTTAAAAGATGTTTGTATCTGAGAAATAGTTTTGAGGTTCAAAAGAGGAAAAAGTCTCAAAATATGACCTGCTTTACATAAAGATAAAAAAAAAAAAAAAAAGCAGTGATGTTCAGCTGTCACAGTGTTTCGGTTTTGCATGTTTCCTTTTGACAAATGCCAGTATCTGGCAAATGTTTGCAATAATTAGTTGAAGGAAAAATCCATTCGTTTTTATTCACAATAAATTACGTAGTGAAAGACCATCTAAAACATTTCCACCTTTTACACCTCGGCTACAGTTAAAACAAGCAAACAAAGAAACAAACAAAACCTGCAAGAGCAGAGGGTTTCAGGTATGCAGAAAAGCAGCAAAGTTGAAATCTCTCTTACTTCTGCCCTCTTGTGTACATTCTTGATAGTGCAACTTTCATTGCATGAAAAGGTAAAAAATTTTAAGTACAACACTAATTATTACATTTTTCACAACTGTATATAGGATAAGATCCTTTATTGTTAATGTTTTCTAGGAATGCTTTTACTATTGAATTTTATGCTCAATTGCTGTGACTACTGGATTTTTTCATTTATGTAAACAAAAACATCAAATCTATTTTACAAAATGCAGTGTGCTTTTCAGAACTTAGAAATACGAGGTGAACATTATAATCTCTGCTTTTTGAAAGAACTGGATATCATGCAAGCATTCTGTAAAGCTCCTGGGAGTGAAAGCAAATGTAAGGATCAGTGTTCTGGAACGGCACACATGAAAAAATGTAAATGTTTCATTTGCTTATTCACTTACTAGGACTTCCCCAGGTCATAGTAACTGGATAGAAAAATAATCTAATAGACATCAAAGCAGCCAGTTGTGTGCATGGTCATTAATGATGTGACAGAAGAGGATAAACCTGTGCTGAGAGGCAAAGAGGGTTGGAGAACGTGGATATTTTACTGACAGCAAATGAATATGAAAGTAAAATCATAGCAAGTTCAAAGTGAGCCTGGGAATTTGAATAGGAAAGTAAACTAAGTTAGTCAAGAGCCTTCGACCTTATTAGGTCTCTTCAATAGCATCTAACAGGTGCTAATTAAGGCAGGTCCTTAAATCTGTTCTGTTTGACATTGCTTTGGTGATCCAGTAAGTCAGCTGATTTTTAGATGCTGTCTTTTCTGCAGGTGTTGCTCTGTTTTTCCCGAGATACATCTGTATTGGAGCACTTTACTTACAGTAGTGCCACCCCACCCAAATCATACATACAAGGTAAAAGGAGTTCTTTTAAAAAAGATTATGTAGCTTTTTGTTGACTGCTGCACTAATACAGTATGCGAATTTGCTTTATGTTCATTACACTTAGTCGACTACATTTAAAAGAACGTTAATAAAAACTTCATGTATCCAGTTGACATCTGCACAGATTCTACTATGACAGCTTAGAAGCTGATCACATGAAGGGCAGATTACAATGTTGTTCTTTTACTGTAGTTTTCTGTGTATAATTCTCCAGTGTTCTACCAAAATAAATTAAACATGCAACTATGACAGTATGGTAAAATCTTGACATCTATCTTCATTAGAGCTAGATGTTTAAATACACAACATTGTCCTCTGCAACTTCAATAACCTTAGCAACTGGAAGTGGTGGTAGGATGTTACCTTCCCAAAGCAGTGCGTTTTGCAGATATTTGTAGACAGGAGCAGAACATGTTGCTGAAGAATAGTGGTCTCCGTTCAAAGGTTTGGAAGAGCTCTACCAAGCATACTGATTTTTTTCAAAGCATGGCATCTTCCAGAGTGTTAGCTTACTTTTGGATGTTCTTTGGCTTAAATTCTCATATGTGAGTCTTATTTTTCTGAACAATCTTAAATTTATTGGTTCAGTCCACTTGCCTTCTCCACCAACTTCTAATGCCATACCTCTGGACTCTGCTTCCTTGCTGCTTAAATCCTCACCTTTTCCAACCACGACTTGGCTTTATCCGGAGATTCCTAATTTTGTCTTCCTTCTTGAATCATTCAGCCATCCAATCACTTTTTTTTCCATCTTTACCTTCTGCATTCCCATTTTCTTCCTCGGTCCCTTGTGCCAGTGTGTTTAGCCAGATGTGATCCCCCTACCAAGTACTTTATGAACAGGACCTCTGCTGACAGTTTTCCTCTTGCTTCTTGTGTCACCAGAGGCAATGTTTGTTTTCTAATTTTTTTTCTTCCTCCTTTATTGCTTTGTAGGTCTTTTCTCTCTCTTTAGCTGAATTAGGGAGTTTTCTTTATCTGCTTCTTGACACAAGCAAAGGGCTCACTTGAGAGCAGAACAGCAGTGGGATCCCAGGTCTCACATCAGGCACACAGCCACGGCAGCCCAGAAACACAGCTGTGGGGGAAATTGTGCTTATTCCTACACGTATC